GGATGGGGGTGGGGTGTTATCCCTGCTCTTGGCCTCCAATTTTTTTCTTTTCTGTCTACACATCTTTCTTCTCTTACTTTAGTTAAAACAAAGTTGTGATTTTTGTGAAAGATTTACCAGAAAAAAAATGTGGGAAAGAAAGCAAACAAAAGAATTTACAAATATAAACAGGTAGGTTTAAACAGCTTGTTAATTAGGCTGAAAAAGAACTTGGAAGTTATCTACCCTGTTATGAGGCCGAGTCTGAGGGGCACATGGTTTGAGCTGTCCTTTAGCATACTAAGTTGCTTCTCAGCTCTTAGCTGAGAAGATAAGCCAGCCAAGCAGATATGCCCCCAAAATTGGGGCATGTGCAGCAACAGAACTTCAACACTGTGTACTTCCAACACTGAACTTGGAAGTATGGTGCAACTATTACCCTGTTACCCACCTCACCAATCCTTCCTAGAGAAACAATCATCTTGAAGTTAGAAAATAACCTTCTCATTCTAGTCCAGATTATAAACTAATGCACCATGGACCCAAAGTAGCCACAGTTATTTGGGCCTTTTACTGTTCTATATATTTTATACATTTTTTGAATGATTTGCTATAGTTTCTAAAGACTGTGCATAAAGAACAGATTTTGCTTGTTTGGAAAAATAAAGATCTGGCCACATGTTATCTTTAGAACAACAATCAGTTGAGGATGAATAGCAGCTACCTCTATTAGTTATGTGGAGCTCTATCAGACGATCAAACTTGCAAACCCTGAAATAAACCAACCAATTAAAAAAAAATTCATTTCATAGGTTAAAAAAAATGAAGTTCTGAAAAACAGTTTGGCCTGTCCACATTTAATGGCACATTCAAAATCAGAAGACTGGTTCCCAGTTCAATCACCTTCAGTGAGTACTACTGATTTTTCTTATGAGAATCTGAGATTCAGGGACATTACCTATGTGTCACCACTACAATGAGGGAAACAGAACTGAGAGCTGGGTCTTCTGCAGTTACACACACTACTCTCTGTTTGCTTTGCTGGGCCAGGAATTCTTAGCAGTTGTGATCTACTCCGGAGTACATAACATTAGCCATGAACTCAAAGTGCCACCATTCCTCAGGCTCCTCACCACACCCACAGTCTGAAGTTTCTGTGCCCTCTGCACAAATTGCTGCACATTCCCAGCCTCCACAGATGCTCTCACACAGCTGAGCTATGGACAAACATGCTGTGTTTTTCTTTTGCTTATGGCCTTTTCTCTGCCCATAACGGCAGTAAGGGAACAACAGCCTCCRAAGGACACTGATGTGGGAGAAGAGGTTAGAGAGAACAGTTACTGATGGCAGGAAGTCAGGCAGAGCTCCAAATTCTCCTGGCTCTCTTCCCAAAACACTGAATGGTCATGGTTAATAAACTGCTTTTTAAAAAACACAGGGTCTGTCCAGATTGACACAATTTGATATAAAAGATGGCCTAGCCATGCTCCCTGCAAGTGTAGTAACATTAATATCTAAAAACCTTGGAAATATTTTAAYTTAAGAGGACATGACTACACAGTGCCTAGGTTCATTATGACTCAGGTCTACAAATATCTTACCTAAAACTCTCTAAGGGGATGTCTGGTTCCCTTTAATATCATAGAAATGCCAGTTAGGAATGAGGATAGGAACTRCAAGGGGGATAAAATAGTATATGAGATTATTCTCGTAAAGGTAGGAGGAACACAAAATCAAGGTAGTCATAAGGATAAAAAGAGGAGAAAGCAGGTGGCAACTGAACTGGACTGGAGGTGACAAGGCTGAATAACTCAGCAGGTACTTGAGCCAGAGACTCTGACCTGTATAAAGAACAAAAAATTGAACCCACAAAGGACTAGTGCTCAAATATGTGTAATATCAATGACAGCTGAAGCCAGGGAAGTTTCCAAGGCCTGCCAATTCCCTGCCAAGGGTCCTGGATCAACTCTTCTGCCTCCATGAGGGAGACTGCTATCATGAAACAGTAAGGATAGAAGTCAGTTGTCCTTTATGTTCCCCTCAGGGCAATGCACTTAAAAATTCCTTAGTCTGTATCTGGCATAAATTAAGGTGTTATAGCCAAGTTCCCGATTTCATCAATGTCCAAGCCACACATCTACTACTATGTATAGTCCTAGTGACCCTACTGTAGTCTCTGGGACCACAAATGAAATATCAGAAAGTTGGCAATGGCTATGTACATTAAGTAAGATAGATTTACTTTCAATGAGGCAGAGACTCCTTAAGATGCACCACTTACCCCAATAACCCTCTCCCCCTTCCCCCCACTGAATATACAGTGATTATATTCTCTCAGAATTAAGTGATGATAATAATTATTCTGGGAGGTCATTTTTTATACATGCTTTTTCTCTAAACTTCAACTCCCTCACAAGCTGGGGCTAATAATTTCCTCAACTCTAGTAAGAGGGAATATACAATAAGCTTGGCAATAGCAGGAAAAACTAAAGCTCAAAGAAGGAAGCAAATAGTTTTATTCATTCGGAACACAATAAAATCATGGAGTGGGGCTGAGAGCCTTTTCACAACAGGCTTGGACTTAGCTGGTTCAGTACCCAGGTCTGCACTATACCGGACTCCAGTGGAAGGACCAAGAAAGGCTTAGTAAGACTTTTTCTAACTGCTTTGTAGTTAGAAAAATCTATAGGATGCTGTTATCTACATTCAATGAGCCTGGGCTAATAATGTAGTTCTTCGTAAGTCTTTTCCAAAAATGGATTATATAACAAAGATCCAAATCCTTCTAATTTATCCCTAATGTAGGCTTCTTAAGTACCAGGTCCTCATGGAGAAAATATAATGGTGGGAAAGAAATGTCAGCCTTCCCAAAATGGCAGTGTGTATAGAAGAAATTACCAACACTTGATTTGCAGGTTAAGTGGTCAGCAGTAGTACTTAGCCCTTCATACCTTTTGCCTGCTGGAGGCTACTAAACAGAGGCTGTCACGGGACTAAACCTCCCCTCTCCTTTTTCTTTTTTCATTTTAAGTCTCTTCCTCAGAGTTTCACTTCCTGTACGGTGAAGTAAGTGCCTACTGAGCCAATCTTCTAATGGATAACAACTATAAACTTTTAACAATATGAAAAACTACTTGAAGATACTGAAGATGGAACAAAAAAATCAGGCAAATTCTGGAGAGAGGCTGAAATATGGAAAGAAAGAATGGCACAAGGTGAGTGTCCCATTTTTATACTTTTGGGTCTGAGAGAAAACTGCATTCTTTCTATGGTGTCTTCCATTGAAACAGAGCAAGTACAGCTGCTGCAAAATGTGAGAGAAACCTCAGAAGAAAGGGAACCAAAGAGAAAGAAGGAGTGCCCTAAACTCTGTGCATATATTCCACTCAAATCTCTGGTGGACTTCTGAGTTATGTGCAGGACAGATTCCAGTTACAGATAAAAGAACTGAATTGATATTTGAATTGCTGCTCAAGACAGTTTACAAGTTAAGTCCAATAAAGTTAATGCCTGCTAACATAAAAAAGAAAATCAGCATTCTTCAGAAGAATAAAACAGAATCCATAATACCAACATTTACAATGTTCAGGGCTCAATTTAAAATTACTCAACATATGAAGGACACAAAGAAAACAACAGTCTAAAACAGACCCATTCTGTAGAGAATAAATAAACAATGGAACTAATTCTGAGATTATTCAGATGTTGACTATATCAGAAAAAGATTTTAAAGTAATTATCACTATGTTCAATAAAGGAAAGCAAGCTTGCAGTGAATTAAAAGAGGAAATCTCAGCAAAGAAATAGAATTAAATGGAAATTCTTTCTAGCCAAGTATAGTGGCTCATGTGGGAGACTGAGGCAGGAGGACCACAATTTCAAGGCCAGCCTGAGAAATAAATAAGACTTTCAGTTGGGGAATGAGGAAATAAATTCTACTGAAAGATATCTAAAACCAGTCTTTACCTCCATGTGAGACCTACTCCTTCATGTATTTCCTTCATATTTCTGTTCTTTACCTGAGGAACTAGATCAAATTAGAATAAAAGAGTTCAATTTACCTTTGTACAAAGGCATAAATCAGACCCATAGTTACTGATGTTCTGATTYCATGTGAGATGGAAATTGGAGAATAATATTCGAAATTACCTCTGCTCACAGATTTTGTTTCAAGTGATTTTTATTTGTACCAAAACTAAATGGAAAACTGCTCACTGACACTATAAGTAGTTATTTTTTGTATTTTGGAAGACTTGACTCAAGAGGTGAAAAGAATTTAGGGACATTTGGTAGGAAGGTGTTTTCACTTAGTAAGGTWGTAAAAGTCAGAGCTAACTGAGCTTTTCTGTCTGAAATCCCTGATACTTAACACCAGGCCTGAAAATGGTTTCTACATGGAGCACATTTTTCTTTTAGAAGGTAGGACATATGCTATGCAACACTCCTGCAAGGATCTGTAGAAGGCAGGCTACATACAAATAGGGAGTGTTTTTATTRGTAGAAAAGTTCTTCTTAAGTGATTCCAACATAATATTACTAAAAGGATAGAGATAATTTGTAAGAGAAAATGTTGGGTCTAATGCTAGTCCCTTTCTCCTTTGTTCACCAAATTAACTCTGCATACTATGAGATACACATTTCAGAAAAAAGTCATCTTCCCATCCAAAGACTCCTTATATTTCTACAAGCAGGACATTATAGAAAAGGGCATAATTTGGTTTCTGGATAAAAAAAAAAAAAAAAAAAACCAGGACCCAATTCACAGAAACTGACAAAAGCCACACTAAGAAAGATTACCAAACAAACCTGAAATGGTTAGTTATAGAAATGGAGGTAATATTTCCCCTGGGAGCATAGATTATCAGTATTTCATTCAATTAAACCAACAATGTCYAAAAGAAAGCTCCTAAAGAATGTTCTTAGCCACTGTAATGTGCACCAACTAAAATCAGTTTTCATTATTAAAATGGACCAATGTCTCTTTTAGTTAATATTTGATTATTGAATCAGAAACAATAAAGAAGCTGAAAAACAAAAAACCTCCATTTTATCATAGTTTTCTACTATAAAGCTGATCACYGCACCATCCAGTGATACAAAATTCTAGAAACTTTACAAAATTCTTTTTTAAAATTTATTTTTTGTTATCAAAGAGAATGTCCAGAGACATTGCGTACTAAAGAATTTGTTCATGGCATTGTTTTACAAAAGTTCCTAATGGAGAGTGAATATTTAATTTTCTGATGTATCCTTCACTTATTAATGATGACTTGGATGAACTGATGCAATTACTTAAAAAAAAAAATCCAGACAACCTTATAAAGGAAAAAAAAAACATCCATTCTCATTCTGAATCTGTTGATTGGAGTGAATTCAGTGGTCACAACACCACCACTGGCTAAGAATAAACTTCTCCACAGTATGGAGCTATTCAGGTCTTCTTGGTAAGTCACACAGGTCTCTCAGATATAGGCACCATGTTTGAAGTCTCACATAAAATGTCTGTGTCACTTAAATTACACAATGTGGCAGTGTTTGTTTCATGGGGACATAATATTTATAGAAGGGTAAAGTAGAAAACAATCTGTTTGCATGTTATATGTGAGTACATTATTGTACTGTGCATGGGTTTGAGGGCACTGCAGCCCTTGTTAAAGAGGAATTCCACCAATGAAGCATTTGTCAGTTCCTAGTTGCTCTTGGTGCCAATGGTATCTACCATTTAACCAATGTTGTTAGGTCAGGGCCTTCTTCATCTACTGCTTGGTTGAAATGGTTTGAACTGAGTTTGGTTGTTCATCTCTTACACCTGAGCTTTATTTCTCAGCCTCAGGATATGTGGGGTATTTGACGGTTTCAATTTTCTCTCGGACTTTGTAGGAGGGATAGAGGCCTGTTCTTCCCAGTTTTCTGTTGACACCTTTAGAATAGCCATCCCAATGATTTCCAGCCACCCCAATGATATCTCCAGGTTCCATGGGGATTTCTTCTTCAGTTCGAGGTTGGTGAGGATAAATGGCAATTTGGTTGTGGGCATTCTGGCCCCCAAAATAGTAGATGTCATCTAAAGAATGGAAGTTTGCAGAGGCATCAGGATGCAGTGTTTGCATGATTTCATAAGCAACTCGACAGACCTTGGAAAGAAATGGAAAAAAGTTTGTTAGTACAGTATATAAAAGCTCTCTTATATAACAAACTGAAAGTCCTTGGCCAAACATGAACTCAAATACTGAGAGGGTTGAGAAGTAGTGGCTTTTAGTCAAAAGGTTTCAATCCATTTGCTATCAGTTGATGGTATAAGTCATTCTTCATTTCTGGGCTTATATCTTTTTAAAGAATGTACACAAAAGATTATTACAATTAAGGTGGGGGGAGCTATCTACATATCATGCAAAGTAATTTAAAAATATGAACCAGTTAATTTTATAAGCATTTATTAAGAGTTACACAGTTATATAGGCTGGGCACTGATTAAAAAAAGAAACAAAATGAGTAACCCCAGAGTTTGTGCCTGGAAGAATTTAAGGTTTAGGATTAGGAAAAAAATACTTAATTCCCTTTATTCCCTGTTTTCAATCCCAAAAACTTCTCTGCTCAGAACTTTGTCTTGGAACCATTTTCAGTAGATTTCATGTAATAGGTTAATCATCACTTCAACTTTTCAAATCATTACTTCAACTTTTCAAAGCATTCTCAGGTGAGCTAAAATACATCTGCCATTTATGTTCTATAGAGTTTTAAGTGTGTTGTTTATATAATAGCATTCTTGGGATGACATAAACTGAGCTAGCCTTTGAGGAAGATGCCTGACTAATGTAGCTTTAAGGCTGCTTAAAAGACTCCTCTGTCCAAAGAATATATTCATTGTCCACTGAATGTAGATGAAATTCCACACTCTGAGCTTCCTTGAGCTTAATACTTGGTGACAGAGTTAAACTATAACTGTGACGTTAAACTATCTTCATAGAGGGATAACATTTTAAGGAATTAATGGACTCAGCATAAAGTAAATGGATTTCAGAAACTTTTCTAAGAATAGGAGATGACAGGAGAGAGAACTATTTTCCTTATACATGTTTATAAATGTATAATTGAGAACTCAGCTTACATCAAATTTTCTTAAATCTGTAGCTATGGCCATCTCAATTAATTAAGTTATTTTGTCCCTATTACCAATACTTTTGCATTTATTTAAAATGGCAMTAATAATAATAATAATAATAATAATAATAATAATAAATCTGCTTAGTGAACAATTTTAGGACTACTCAGTAGTCTTTAAAACTGTAGCATTCATGAAGATCAAGAAACTGACAGGAGATACTGTATTTTGGGACAGTATTAGAGATTGAACAAAGGGTCTCACATATGTTAGGCAAATGCTCTCCCACTGAGCCACACCCTAGCCTGAGACATTTATTTACAACTGTTAGGGTCAAATGGAATCTGATTAGGTTAATCATCACTTCAACTTTTCAAAGAATCTGAATTTTAAGAACTTTCAAGAGGGGCAATTCTCAAATGCTAGATGTAAGYTGCAAATAAGATTTAAGGTTAGAAATATTTTAAATTTTGTAAATATTAAAATATAAGGAATTTAAGTGATATGTTTAAGTTCTTGTGCTAGAATTTCAATTAGATTCAAGACAATTAAAATTTGCATTCAAGTTGATTTCACTAAGAAATTATTTACTGGGAATGTCTTGATATAATTGGGATAAATGGTAGAATACTAAGACTAATAAATTAAGGATTTGGATTTGGAATTTTTAAACTTAGATTCAGCCAAAGGCATGCATGGAGCAAGCAAAATTATGTGAGAACTATGGAAAGGAAGAAATCAAACAAATACATTAACCAGAGAAATTATAGTTTTTGCTTCATAACAACATTTCAGTGGTCCCACAACACTATATAATTGACATTATCTTAGTTTACATAAGTATACTCTATGAAGTTTGCACAATGACAAAATCACTTAACGACATTTCTCAGAATGTATCCTCATCATTAAGTGACATACAACTGTAATTAAAACAAAGCAACTATAATAACTGCTAACTACAATAATATCATAGAGGCTAACACTAAGCTTTTGCTGTTAGGATAATCTGATGTAATTCTCTCAGTATCCCCATATAATTCTATCATTTTACTCATTTTACAGATAAGGGAACTTGAGGCATTTGTTCTGGGTCACACTACCCATTAAGTGGAAGATTCAGATTTGAACCAGGGCAGTTTGTGTATGCTTATAATTGCTATATGTATTTTTTCTTGGAAATCTTTTTTTTCCATGTTTATACCATAGCATCCAAAAGATATAATGTAAGATCAAGAACAGCCTTTGAAAAACCTGAGTGTCTTCCTTTAAAGTTACCTTCACCTACTCTTCTGTCGTTTCTAATCGGAAATGCAGGACCTTGTATTACTCTTAGGATGACCACAATCTCTACTGCAGCAATAAACCCTACATGGTTTCTCTTCTCCACTCATCAACGTCTTACTTTCATAAATTTTTTTCCTCTCTGTTCCACATCTTTTCCTTGCTTTCTTTTGGCAATTATCCTAATAATTAGTTTGTGTTTTGGTATCAATAGTGTGTTAATCTTGGTGGGTACACATGTTTTCTTAAACCAAAGAAATAATTAATGGTCAAATTTCAGATACAGAGATTTCTGCAAAAACAAGTTGAATGCAGCTACACAAGGAGGTCCTTTATCTTCTTCATAATAATGGCCATAATATTAGCAGCTGAGCTTAATGAGCACTAATTAGATTGCAAGCACTGTTCTGACAGTATATCCCTCCACCAACTCACTGAACTCTCACAACCAAGTGTGAGGAACTACTATTTATTCATATTTTATAGTTAGAGAAAACTAAGCCACAGAAAGGAATTTTCCAAAAAATACAAAAGGAGCTAGCAAAGCCAGAGCCACAGTTAAAATTCTTTCTGGTTCTGGCATAAGTGCTCTCAATCACACAAGACACTGCCTTTGAATAAGCACTTAGAAGAACGACTGCCACAYAGTAGACGCTCAATAAACATCTGCTGAGTGAATATTTCTCCATGCTATGCTGAATATTTTTCCAGTAATGGAGATGCAAATCCATGGGTGATATTTCATCCTTAAGGTCCTCATACAATATTCTGAGTAAGTAATGATTGTCTATACCAATCATGGGGCAATTACTGCAAGCAATGGAAAGATTACTATAGTGTTGATGTTTGCCTTTAATCACCTCTATACTTCCTCTCTGGACTTTACGAACTCAATCATGGGGCAGGTAAATGAAAGCTTACAGCTGATGCCAACACTCAGGTTTGGTACATGCCAGGTTGCATGACGGAGAGAACAGTCTATGGTTTGCAAAGCAATGCCTGGCTACATGTTGTTTTATTCATTCTGGGTTGACACGATGCTATATCATTTTTTTCCTCTATGCCAGGTGTATTCAAAATCCTTCCATATTAATATCTAAATGCAGCAATAAGAAAAATCAAGTGTTATTATGTCCATTTTTACTGATGAAGAAACCAAAGCATAGAGGGGTTGTGATCACATATCGCTCAAAAGTAGAAAGAGGTAAGACCACGATTCAACTTCAGTCTATCCTTAAGAGTCCGTAGCCAATATGCTCTGTTGGCTTCTATGTGCCCTGCTGAGACTAGTAACTCAACACTTAGCCTGCTGCTGCCTACGTTGTCTAGGTCTGGGAGGGATGTTTGTAATAAATTAACTCGGCATTCTTAACTTCACAGTTGATCATGTCTTCCTTGAAACACTTCACTGGTCCACATTCTCTGGTTTTCCTCCCACCTCACTGGCTGCCCTTCTCGGTCTCATTTCTGACCTCTCTTCTCTTCTCAACATCTTGTTGCTCAAGATAAAAATCCTTGGAGTCTTGCTGACGTCCTCTTTCCTTCAACTTTCTTTCAGGAGTCTGTCAGTCTGAATTTTGTTCCTTAATAATAGCCAGCTAAGTTTGCATGAGCCTCCAAAGCTTTCTCAGAGCAGAAGGGACCCTGTTTTTTTAAAATGGACACGTTTTTTGTTTTTTTTTTTTTTTTTTTTTTTTGTTAAAAGCACTGGGTGATGCTGGGAGATCTGTATACTTTTCCTATGCACTACTTAATTTTGCTATGCAAAGAGAGAGGAAGACAAGGGTCTTTCCTACATTGCAGGAATGGCCAAAATCAATGCAATAAAGGCCACCTAGCACCATTTTCAGCACTGCAAGCTACAGTCCAGGATGAAGCAAGGTGTACTTCTTGTCTCCTACTCTGGGAGGTAGGTGCAGAGCTCATATTGTGGGCTTTTGTCCTGTGTTGCTCCATGGTACTTTCAACAGTTATTTACTATTGTCGCATGAGTTACACCTTGATGGAAATTTCTATCCAGAACCAAATATCTGGAAAAAAGTTAATGTAGTTCTTGATTTTGTCATCTGGGCCTTCCAAAATCTGATGCAATGTATAATGAGGCCTGTTTTGTGTGGATTTAAAATTAAAGAGGGCTATGAGTGTGCTGTAAAAACTGTCAAGTTGTAGTGTCAATGGAGAAAAATAATAATCTTTTTTTTAAGAAAAATAATAATCTTGTCCTATAGTGATTCTTAAAGACCGAAACTACTGAGCAGCATCCACTGCTCATTAAACAACATTAGTTTTAAAAATGTTAAAATCTTTAAAGTGAACATCCAAAACCATTTGGTGAATCAGACTCCAGAGTAATTTTTCCTATCTACAACTAGTACTCTTATTTCTCCATTACAATTTGTTTCAGATTTAAGATAGTTTCATCAATAAGAAAAGTAGATGCTTTGGGGATAGATATTTTCCAGTAACATAACAAAATTAGCATAATTGGTAGAATAGTTTAGAATGTGACAATGCTGCTTTCAAAATTCACTAGATGCTAATATTGCCTCTAATTATCATATTAAATCCTGAGGACAGTACTCTTCAGTTTATGAGGTTTTGGGGACAAACTTGACTTGGAGAAACAGTTTGGATGATTTAGAAACTAAGAGCAAAAATGGTAACAAAATTAGAGAGTAGAGACATATTGTTGGATTTTTAAAACTTTTCATTTAAGGAGACAGAAAATTCCCAGACCTCACTTAAGGAGATAAAACAGAAAGATCAAACACTGAGGGGGATGGATCTAAAACCTTATGAGTAATCCTGCTTAAGATGCCATGACACTTAGCCTGTAGGTTTTCAAGAAGCTCATGGTCAAAAGACCAATTCTTTCTTGCTGATAAGTAGTATAAAATTTCTCAAAAGACAGCTTATAGGAGGTAGAAATTAATATGCTGAATGTTACTGGTTACTCTTTTCATAAAGAATTGCTTACCATAAGATAACTGAGTGGGGCCTAAGCATTATTCATGACCACATGAATCACATGTTTCATGCTCCTTTTAAAATGTGAGAGCACATAGTGTAAAATAGAACCATGTATAAAAGATCTGCTAAAGTTAAAACCATTGAGTCTAACAGGCAAAGGTATTCCTACAAAACACACACACACACACACACACACACACACACACACACACAGTTCTTGGTTCTTTACAAGTGATTAACATTTTTGGGGGGGGGGTAGTACTGGGGGTTGAAACTACAGGCATTCTACCATTGAGCTATATCCCCAGCCCTTTTAATTATTTTTTGTTTTGAGAAAGGTTTTTAAATTGCTCAGGCCTTGAACTTGCAATCCTCCTGCCTCAGCCCTCCAAGTTGCTGGGATTACCGGTGTATGCCACTGCATTTGGCAGTAATACTTTAGCTATATATAATAACACTTCAGTCCTCTTTTCAGTAAGTTTTAAATAAATTGTTAGCCCTCACAAAACTTTATGAGGTAATTACTACTCTATGTATTATTATTATTATTACTACTACTACTGTTTTTAAGCCTGAAAACAAAATATCAACAGTTAGAGATAGGGTAAGTAATTTGTTTAAGGCTCCTGAGCCACTATGTGATCAAAGCTGAACTTAAATCCAGAGAGTCTGCCTGCAGAACCTATGTTGTCTTGTTCTTGTTCTCTGTCCAGTGAAGTCAGTGACTTGGCATTTTGATCTACTCAGTAACTTTTTCTCATGACCTATTGGTGATGATGAGCCATTTCTGGGGCATTCAAATGATTCCAATTTTAGTTTATGGCAAGGGAACTTCTAAATCCAGTAACCAATTTTGTTATCACTGCAAAAATACTAAATTGTACTAAATAGCTCTATATTTAAAAATATCTGCAAGAAACATTGAGTTGCAAAGAATCAAGGGGGGGAAAAAAACAACCAAACAAAAACTAACCAATCAACCAAGCAAACAAAAAATATAAAACACTGAGGTACAAGTAAGTCCAGAGATTTATCATTGAATCTGCAATCATTCCACATTCTTAAATGCTATAGCTGTTAATCATCAAATAAGCTATGTGATAATGGGAGTGATCACATTTGGCAACTTGCCATTTGACATATAAATAAAAGGTACCATCACTGTTAAACTTTTATTCTGAACCCAACATAAAGTATTTTGAGGTATTCAAGTCCATTTGGGGGTACAAAATATTGTTTGAGTTTTGCTTTTGAGCAAATGTGCAGAAATTATTTGGGGCAAACTCTGTCAAGAGTTTTTTTGGAGTAATACATATATAAATTTCATTCCTTTGGATACAAAAAATTCTTTCAGCACCAGTTCTTCATATGAATGCTTTTCTGGACTCAAAGTCTGAATGCAATGAGGTTGATATTATGTATAAAGTAGAGCAAAGCAGTATAATTTCTCCTAAAGACCAGACAAATTCTGTCATCATGAAGTGACATCAACATCCTGATTTCTGGGTCAAAGGTACAGTAATGAGAACCAGAAATTCTAAAGGGGAGAGGACAGAAAAAAAGAAAAAGAATCTTCTTTCTTCCAGAATAAGCATAACGGTATTCCTAAGAAGTGCTAGAAGGAAGAAAGCAAAGCATTAAGTTGCAAGTCTTGGAGCCTGTCAACATGTAAGGATGGTAAACAATCAGACATATATATTTGAGTTTTATGTCTAGAACAGTGGTTCTCAATCAAGGCAATTTTGGTCCCTAGGGGACATCTAGTAATGTCTAGAGACATTTTTGGTTGTCACAACTTAGGTTAGGGATGCTACCGACCAAGGCTGCTGTTAAATATCCTACAATGCACAGTATAGCTCCTCAGAACAAAGAATTAACTAACTCCCAGTGCCAGTAGTGCCTAGGTTGAGAAACCCTGGACTAGAAGAACAGACTTCAGGCAGGCCTAAAATCTAGACCTTCAGGGAAAGTGGTACAACTGGGAAAGTGACTCTTGATTCACTCACTCTAACAATAAGCATCAGTTGTGTGTAGAGGTCTTCACTAGCTACAGGAACCTGTGTATCAGGTAGATACATAGCTGGATTCTCAAAAACAGTTGGGAGGGACTAAACAGATACACCCACCTGACTCCTGCCATGAGAAAGGGCAGAGTGCTTCTTAAAGACAGACCCTCACCCCCCATTAGGGAGAAATATCAACAGTGGGTGCCTTCATAGGAACTTGAAGACAAAAGTAAGTTTTTCTCTCTGACAAGGATTGTTGCAATATGACTCCTATTTTGTATAGCTATTCACAAAACAATAGCAGTTGTATTCTTATTTTATACTGAAGAAACCTGTAACCTTTGCTTGTTTAAGTATTTTTTCCAAAAAATCATATCACCATCCCACTGTGACAATGTGCACTGTTATGTAATAAAAAAACTTGTCATTTCTTTATTCCCTCTGAAATATATTTCCATGGAAATGTCATTTTTATTTTTTCACACTTTTCAGCATTTAAACATATATTTATCTTATACTAATTTATATTTTTAAGTAATTATTCTTAGTTGATTCATGTGAATATTTTGATTCTGAATGAGGATAAGACTATATCTTCCATCTCTTTTGAAATCCTCTCTGCATCTAATATAACTATGAGCACAAACAGTCATTTAACAGCTGGTTAAAAGAACTAACCAAAAATATGTGTATAATGAGAAAGAAGAATAAAATAAAATAAAAACACCAATGAATATTGTTATATTTATATTCCACAGGGTATATAAGGCTGATTGGACCACTCACAAAAACACACACACCAAACTCAAAACCTATAATCATATAAAACAGTTAAACTGAAAGAATGATTATGATATTGTATTTCTTAAATTTAATGTATAGTTTCTTGCTAAGTAGAAATGTAATAGGATCTGAAAAGAAACTATATTTACTCTTTCTTCTTTTCTATAAAGAGACATAATGAGACAAATATAATACAATATAATGAGACAAAATGCTGAGCACTTAAGCCTCTTAGTATCAGTGCACTGATAAGTTGACCTGGATAGATTCTAGTTATATATTGAAAGTATACAAAATCAGAAAGTATTAAGTAAGCTTAATTACTTGCTGTTTGTGTTACATGCTATAAACAAGGCAGGTAATTTAAAACTTCTAGGGGAGATGTATTCAACCATTGCTTGCAAACAACTAAATATTCAAAGTCCTCAAATAGCTATTTTGTGGAATCTCTTCATTCGTTCACAAAACATATCATTACTAAATATAAGGATAACTGTACCTGAGTCATGATAACCAACATTAAAAACACAGACACATAAACAATAATTGTCCTGAACACGATAATGATGAAAAAGTTTTTGGTCATTTAAACATGTCTTACTGCCACCTACCTGGGATGAAAAAGTACACACTAGGAAGTCTGCCTGGGAGAGAAAATGTATATCCAGGATCACACCCCGAAGTGAATTTTCTGTATATCGATTGTGCAGTCCAGCTGACCAAGAAATAGAGTTATCACTAATAAATTCATAATTGGGGTACCTGAAAAAAGAAATTTATACATGTTTACTGAAATCACAGTATCCTATACAGGGAGGATTGGTCCTTTGATTAAGAAYTCTTCTCTTTCTAATAGAGAGGAGAGTTTTAATTAAAACATTCAATGGAATAGTTGGTGAGGCACCTGTGGATCCATTAGTAGGACAGAATACATTTTTAATGTTCTATATATTAAGTATTATTGGTACATCATATAACACACATACATACACATCAAAATGTCCTTTATCAATTCATGAAAGAATTGAAAACTAAAGGTTCATTATTGTTTGTAATGAAGGCCCTTCTAAGAGTTTATTCAAGCTGTTTTCATATTTGGTCACTGAATTTTTCCTTTAGACTATAACTATCATGATAAAATCTCACTTAAATTTTCATTTATGATAATTCAGATTTGAGTGAAAATTTGATATTATAAGCAAATAATGAAAAGAATTAAAAAATAACTAAAATTTTGTGAGAATAAACAGTCTCATCTAAAGCCCATCCTTTTTGAATAAATCTATTTAAGCAATATGGTAATGGAAACTATCTTAATGAATTTATGAAAGCAAATTCCTTGTAGATGTCTACTAAGTAATACATTAGTGGTCTTACTTAAGATAGGGTATGTGTTTAAAAATATTAAAACAGGCTGTGTTTAAAAAGTCTACCACATGTTCAAATGACTCCACTCCGAATTAGAGTTTTAACTGTACTCTAGTATACAGTGAATTAGTGTCTTAGTGCATGAGATAGATCTTCAGAATTAAGTTATAAACCTTGTATAGTTGTGTGAAAAGGGGATAGTAAGTGTTCATACATAATTTCTTAAGAATTAATACATTAAGTGATGTGAAGCTCTTAGAAGAGTACCTGACATGTAGTAAATGCTCAATAAATATTGGGGATGGTTATTAAATAGTGTTCTTTACTTATTTAGATCTCTGCTCAATATCACCTCATCAATGAGGAGTTTGGAAGTCCTGGACCTTTGTTTCTGCTTAGTTTTTCTCCATAGCTCTTATTGTCAACTGACATAATATCTGTTTACTATTTGTTTACTGTCTGCATCCATTCATTCCCCACCTCCATCATCTCTAATTGGAATAAATGTTCTATAAAAGGAGGCATTTCACTTGTTCTGGTCACTGTATTATTTTCAGCACCTAGAAGAGAATCTGGAATATAACAGGAGGATGGAAGAGCATTTCTTGAAAGAATAATAATTCTTATGTTAGAAATAGAAACATCAAGAGTTAGTTTATATGTCTGTCTTCCAAAAACTATTTCCCAAATGTTAGGACCATGACTTATTTTTCTTTACATCAAAGTACCTGGCATTCTGAACAAAGTTGTATGCATAAATACATGAATAGTTGAGTGATACCTTTGTGTGGGACTTTATCTTAATTCCCTAACAGCTGCTTCAGACTTCTCTTCATTTTGTGGCCACCAAGGAGCTCCTCCTCATTGCCTCCTAATATTAATTGTAAAGGCAAAGTGAGCACTGTTTAAGGCTGGTTCTGTGTTCAGATCTATTTGTCTTATTATTTTTGACATTTTGCCCTCCTCAGTTCAGAATCAGGGAAATGAAGAAAATGCCACATTTGTTCTAAAAAGAAAACAACCAGAAATACTTTTAATATGACCCTTGTGGAGCTATATACCCAGGCAGTGGGCAGAAACAGTAACGAATATACATATGAAAATGCTGAAGGAGAAAAGAGGAGGTGAACTGAGAACCAGTTCAGGTTTTATCCGTGAATAAAGACTACTTTGTCAGCATGGTTTGGGGGCTCAGGGAAACAAAGAAAGGAATAATTCATTTACTGAGAAGTGACACAAACATTAATGGACTTCCTAACTTAAAGGGAACTCTTTAGAATTAAACCAAAAGGACTTTATATATAAAAKATAGCATTATGAAGGATACTAAGAGTAGGAAAAAATAAATAATGGGAGAAGACTTTTCTGCACAAATATGCTACTTGTCTTCAAATATGTCAGCAGAGGGATTTTCCTATCTTGAGGTTTCAGAGATACCTCATGAAATGATTGGTAATGATAAAAATAAGTTTTCTTCTTTTTCCACATTATAGAAACTTATTTTTATATCACCCACAAAGGACTAGCCTGGAGTTATAAACTAATATCAAATTTTCTGAAGGAGACTGAAGGAGATACTATTCTTTGTGATATCTGGTATAGGACTCCTTCAGGACACTTCTTTAACCATGCTGTAATTATTTATTACATGTATGTATTGTCTTTCAGTTAGATATTCTATAGAAAAATAAATCATATATTATCTTTTATTTGTCTTTGCATTTGTATTCCCAGTGCCCTGTACTGTATGTATCTTGCATGGAACTCAATAAAATAATAAACAAATATATTACTCATGTAGCTTCTTTATTTCACAGGACAACCAAACACTTGGCAAAAACTTTTAAACATTTTTCTTGCCTCTATTCATTTCAATGTACTTAACTTTAGAAAAAGCTTGTTCAGAATTTTTGATAAAGAACAAACTAAATAACTGAGGTTTTTTTCCCCAGTGTTAGGGATTGAACCCAGGGCCTTGTGCATGCTGGGCCAGTACTTTACTAATGAGTTATACCCCCAACCCTACTTGGGAGGTTTTTAAAGGCTGTTTATCTTCCTGTTTTATCTCTATCCCCAATTTCCACAATCTTTGAAAACAATATTGGATAGACAAGCTTAATAGCTCTTATTTCTTTAACTGCCAATGATTCTATAATTCAAACACTCTGGTAGTGAATTATTTAWGAGATATTGCTTGCCACATTAGTAATGAGTGACACAGTTACTGGGATGCCTATGCTAAGATCTTGTGGATGAAATCAGTCTGAACCTAGAGAAACATGAGGTTTTTTCCATTGCAGCAAGGAATAACTACACACAGAAGCTATGTCTATAAAGCTAATCTTGACTCCTTTTTCTAAAGGATAAGCTACACAGAAAATGCTTTCACCTTTTACTGTGCAAAACCTATGCACAGTTTAATTCTTCATCTCCGTCCACTCTTGAAACATAGAAGTCTCATTACAATGATTACCTTGGACATAACATCTCTTGCAAGGTTAATTCATGCTTTTGATTTCCTAAAACAATGCAGAGGTTTTGAGATTTGCTYAAGTATCAAACCAACTATGAAAGGTTTAAAGCAGAATTGATTCAGAGTTGAAAAACATTTTAAGTAAAAGAATGAAGGAAAGAAATATCTTTTAAATTCCCGAGAATACCTTTGAAATGACTTAAAAATTAAAATGAAAGGATTTTCTAATAGTAAAAAATTATGCATAAAATGTTACCACTACACTTAGAATAAGGAGAAAACTGCTGCCTAAACTACCATAGGGAGAGAAGTTATAGTTACAGACTAAAATGAGGAAATTCAAGTTTTACTATTTCTATAGTCCATGTAGATACTGCTAACTGTAATAAAAGAGTTGTTTGGTATAAAAATGTCATGTTGTGGGCTGGGAATGTGGCTCAAGTGGTAGTGCGCTCGCCTGGCATGCGTGGGCCTAGGTTCGATCCTCAGCACCACATACAAACAAAGATGTTGTGTCCACCGAAAACTAAAAAATAAATATTAAAATTCTCTCTCTCTCTCTTAAAAAAAAGTCATGTTGTGGTACTGGATTAAGGCAATAAAATATCATATCATTTTATTTAAACACTTCAAAGTCTAGAAATATAGCTTAAGGAAATAATAAAATAATTTTTGGCATATTTTGTGTCATTATTTATAAAAGTAAAAACTGAAAATAATCTGTCTAATGTTAGAGAAATGCTTGATCAAGTAAGTACCAGTGATCCACACAGTGGATATTTACAATTCACACTCAGGAAACACAATGACTGAAAGTGAAGGAATGCAAAAAGATATTGCATGCAAATGGAAACCAAAAGAAAGCAGCAGCATCTATACTTATAAGAGGCTGTACGTCAAAAACTATAAAAAGAGAAAAAAAATCATTATATAATAACAAAAGGGATCAATTCTCAAGAAATTGTAACAATTGTAAATATATACGCATATACCACTAGAGAGCCTAAATACACAAAAACAAAACAAAACAAAAAAACAAAAAAAGAGGAGACATTACAACTGACACCACAGAAATACAAAGGAGTACAAGAGGTTACTATGAAGAAGCATACCCCACCAAATTGTATAGCCATGAAGAAATGGATGAATTTCTAGAAACATGCCCACCAATACTGAGTCAGGAAGGTATGGAAAATCTAAACAGAAMAATAATAAGTAAAGAGATAAAATAAGTTTAAAAAAATCTCTCCTTTAAAGAACAGCCTGTGACTGGATGGCTTCACTGCTGAATTCTATCAAACATTTAAAGAACTAATACCAACCCATCTCAAACTCCTCCCAAAAATTGAAGAGGAGAAAATCCTCATTTTCATTGAGGATGAAAAAAAAATCCTCAACAAAATACTACAAACTGAATTCCATAGCACATTAAAAAGATCATTTATCATGATCAAATGATATTTATCCTAGGAATGCRAGGATAATTTAACATACATAAATCAATAAATGTGATATACTGTACTGACAGAATAAATACCAAAAAATACATGATTTTCTCAACAGACGCAGATAAAGCATCTTGACAAAATTCAACATTTGTTCATGATAAAAAATAGGTATAGAAGAAATATATCTACACATAGATTGACGCTCACCAGATCTATTCAACATAATACTAGCAGTATAAGCCAGAGTAATTAGATAAGAAATAGAAGGCATCAATATAAAAAAAGAGTGAAACTATCAGTTTGCTGTTGATATGCATGCGCACACACACATCCTTAAAACTCCACCAAAAATCTCTTAGAAATGATAAATTCAGTGAAGTTTCAGATTACAAAATCTGAATACAAAAAAGGTAGCATTTCTATATACTAGCAACAAACTAACCAACAAAGTAATTAAGAAAATAATCCTATTA